CTATGGATTTTACTTCCAGGTGCTTCTGGAAGGATGTATATGTCTTGATCGGGGTAGAAAGATAAAATCCCATGCTAATATTCCCAGATCAGGTTATGAGATACTATAGCACAAAAACAAAACAAAATAACAAACTTCTAATATTTCCCTTTTCCAAGGTCCCATCCATGCTATGTTTCAAAGATCAACATTTCACCTCCCTGCCTTATCTGTCTGTCTGTAGCCTTTGCTCCTAAATCTATGCTTTGGGTCTTTTAGTAAAATTAGTTGATGAGATTAAGGAGGGAGATAGGATGTAGGAAGACTGGCAGAGCCTATCTTGCTATTTTATTATTGTATAGATACTGAAATGACCTTATGACATTCACAGAGGGTGTGAAACTTTGTTATCTGTTTAGTTCCAGAGCTGAGGGTTACAGGAATAAAGTAAAGAGTAAAGATACAATTAAGTTTGTCTATGACCTGAATTTCTCATTTAACTTTTTAATTCTTCTTACCAGAATCTAAAGAATCCTGTGTAGGTGCAGTAAATGGGTTAACATCACTGGAGGCTTCTATTTAGTACTGTAAAGTATATTAGGGTGTCTTACTATCTAAGAGATGGGTCAGCAGCCACGTACAGGAGGACTGGAAAATGCTTACATTTCCAGTGCCATTTGTTTCATTTGAGAATAGGAATTGTGTGTGTCTTAGATAAACTTTGTATCTCCCTAGCTTCTATGAGAGTGTTTAGCAAATGTTTATGTATTATATTCTATGTGACCAAATATTCTACGCGAGCAAATCATTTAACTTTCTGAGTCTCTGATTCTTTAAAAAAAAAAAGGCATAATAATTCTATTCCTACGACATAGGGCTATTGTATGGATCAAATGAGATGAATGTAAAGCATTATATGTCAGTTATTTCTCCACTAAGGTCCTAATCTAATACAGTTTACCAAGGTTTTAGCAAAGCATTTGAAAAAGTATCTCCTATCATTGTGGGAAAGATAAGAGATCTGTGTATCTTTAGGTGAATTTGGAACTGGTGGAATGTCCAGAGCATAAAAGGAGTCATTAATAGTTTGAGATCCACTTAGAAGGAGGTCTCTGGTAGGTTGCCTCACGGAGCTGTGTTTCCTCTGCTTTTTACATTTTTTTATATCAGTATCTTGGATAAAGGCATCAGAAGGCATGCTTATTTAATCTGCAGATGACACAAAGTTGGGAGGGAGAGTAAGGATTCAAACAGATTTTTGACAGGCTAAAACTTTGTGCTGAATTTAACAAGATGAATACAATCTTAAACTTGTGCTTCAACAAACAGTAGAAGATGGGGTGGGAGTGGCTAGAAGGCACTTTATCTGAAAACGACTTTAGTGAATCACAAGATCACTACGAATCAGAGTGTGATTTAGCAACCACAAAAACTAAGGCAGCCTTAGGGCTGCATTAAGTGATGTGTAGTGTTCTGAAAGTCAGAATCCCAGGGTACTCTGTGCTAGTCAGACAACATCTGGAGTCTGCAGTTCTGGATACCACAATTTATTTTAGTTAAAAAAGTCTGTCTATTTCTCCCCCCCTCCCCCCCCAAACCCCTTTTCTACTTCTTTGACAACTCCCTTTCCCAGTTTGGAGAAATCTCTGTCCTGAGGTCCTTAGTGCTTACCACAGTGCTTTCACATAGTAAGTGCTTAATAAAGGTTCTCTGGTGCTCTTCCCTGGCGCCCCACCTCACCCGCCCCCACCATCTTTCTTTCGACCTCTCTGTCTTTACGTTACCTACATTTACCACTGTATCCCTCCCAGAGAGCTATTCAGAATATTGTTATTAATAATAGCTAACATTTATATAACACTTTCTGTCTCCCAGGCAGTGTGCTAAGTGCTTCATAAAGATCTCATTTGATCCTCACAACACACCTGAGAGGTAGGTGCTATTATTATCCCTATTCTACTGTTGAGGAAGAGTTCCTCAAGAAGAGACTGGATGAACACTTGGTTATATTTAATAGGAGATTCTTATTCTGTTATCACTTGGATTAGGTAGCTTCTAACATCCCTTCCAACTCTGAGATTCTATGATAATCTCTTCTCCTTTCATCTCTCCCCCTACTTTATTTACTCCTCCTAAACCTGTTCTTCATCTGACCATGACCTCCATACTCTCCATTTCTACCTGTTCTCCCAAACTATCAGTCCTATTGAGTCCTCACTTTACTGTTTTCAGTCTTTATTTTGTGACTGACCAGTTCTAGGTACTTAAATCTCACCTGAAATCCCTTTTCTCCTGGTCCTACTTATACCCCATCAGATATTCAACCCTATATCCCTCCTTCCTCTGCTCCCCCAGCCATTTGTTTTCTGTGCATCTACACCACTAATTAAACTTAGAATTGAGATAAGGTCCATTCAAGTTCATATTATCTAATCTCAACTGGGCTCTCCGGCAAAGCAATCTTCTTATGCTTCTTTAATATAACTCTCAGAGGTTATTTCAAACCCTCTTGTCTCTCTTCACTTCCCTTATGACTCTCCTAGTATTCTCTTTCTTGTAAATGACCTCACCTATTACTTTACTGAGAAATTTAAACGGCCATCCATCATTAGCTTTTTTGTCTTCTCTACTCCACACCTCAAAATCTATATAGATCTTCAGCCATTTGCTCTACCTTCGCTACAGTGCCCAAGAAAGAAATGGCTTTTCTCCTTGTCAGTATCAAGCCTGCTACTTGTGCCCTTGTCCCTATCACCTCCTGTTTCCCTTGGAGTTTGTCCTGCTCCCAGTGACACTGCCTTCCTCTCACTCATCTCCCTTAGTATCTTGCAGCCCACCAACAGCCAGCCACTCCCTTCTCACCTCTGCCATTAGAATTCCTAATTTCCTTGAAAGTTGAGCTCAAGCACCATCCCTACATGATTGTTCCTGATCTTTCCTACTGCTAGTGAGTTCCTTTCTCCTGAATTTACCTTGTGTCTATCTTTGATATACTTACACATGTTACATGTAGCTAGACTACATATAAACATCTTAAAGGTCAGGATTGTTTCTTTTTCATCTTTGTATTCCCACACCTAACAGTGCCTGGCATACAGAAGGCACTTAAATGCTTATTTTTCACTGACTGATCAACAGTTCAGATAGGTAGGCTGAGGTAAGTTTGCAGAGGGCCTTGGACAGGGCAGTTCCCTTTTTCAGGAAGGCAGCTTCATTAGGAGGATTATGGAAAAATGTAAGCAACTCACACTTCCTTTTTTGCAGATGAGATTCCCTCAGACTGGAAAGTAAGAAGAACATATTTTTAAATGGGGCTTTGGAGCAATCAATAAGAAATGAGATGAGGGAGACAAGAGATAATAGGCTTTGAAAAGAATGAGATGTCTGTGCTTCATCAATCTAGCCCGAATTTTCCACGACTTCAATGAACGCCTTACTTGGCCACAGTGTCAAGAGTCAAGGCATCGGCCTCATTCCTAAAACCACAAATACACAGGATTTCATCCCCAGTGGAAGAAGCCTCCCTCCAGCCCAGACTACAACTCCCAGAAAGCTCCTCTCTTGTCCGGGAGACATCCTTCAGGACACTCTTCCCTCTTGCCCAGACTACATCCCCCATGATGCTCCTCTTTCAAGATCTTGGGCAAGTCACTTAACAGCTCTAAATCTCCGTTTTTTCAGCAGTAAAATGAGAGACCTAGATACCGTCTAACGTCACTCCCAGCGCTCAACAGAGGCTCATATGTGACTTTCCTCCCTCACAGACCATGCCCCTCAGTAAAGCTTCTCTCCCATTACATTCCCAGGGACGCGCCTCCTTCTGGGACTACATCTCCCAGAAAGCTCCTCTTCTCCTCTTCCCGATTACATTCTCCAGGAAGTTCCTCCTTCCAGATTACAACCGCCTGAAAACTCCCTCCCAAACTATAACCCCCGAGTATGCTTCTGGTCCAGGAGGTCAAAGAAATTAAGGGAGGATGGGAGTGATCGAGTCATTCGAAAGAGAGCCGTTTTCCCGGCCTCTGTCTCATTTTTCTTTCAGAGCCCAATCTTTTGCCCTCCAGACCCCGGAGGGCCGACTCACCGCTTACCCGAGTGGTGCCCAGATGGCAGGCGTTGAAAGAGGGGCAGGTCAGCCCAAATATCCCAGGCGACAATTCCCAAAACACTTCCGACACAATGTAAAGGGTTCATAAATGTAACCCTTCCCTTTCGCGGCAGTGGCGTTCATAGCTTCACTTGAGTTTCCCAGTCCTAGAACTATATATTCCAGAGTGGTAATTTACCAAAACATGCAAAAAAAAAAAGAGGGGATGCTGGAGTTTACGGTGCTCGGCGTTTTCCCTCCCGGAAGTTATCATGAAGTCGGCTTTAATTGGCTCGGATAAATTATCCTCTTTGCTCATTGGTTCAGGGGCAGGCATAGCTTCCGGGCGGCATCGCCTTGCATCTTGGGTGTTGTAGTCCCTACTCCTGGGGGGGGGGTCTCCCGACAGTGTTTTCGTTTCCCAGAATGCGCCTCGGGAAAGTCAGGGTCGGCGTGCTGGTCGCGGAGCTAGAAGCCGCCCGTTCCACGGCAGCTGGCAGTGAGTGTCCCCGGAGGCGCGGCATCCACGCGGGGCCGGGGCGGCTCGGCGTCCCCGTGCCTGCCCCGAGAGCCCCCCGCAGTGTCCCAAGCAGGCCAGTGCCGGTCCCTGCCACCCGCGGAGCCCCAGGGACTGGCAGTGTCCCGGTGAGCGGTTGATGTCGGTTGGTTTTCGATCCCTGAGCCGCTGGGCAGAGCCCGAGGGGACGCCATGGGGACCCCGGCCGACTGCGCCCGGGCGAGGCCGGATGCCCAGGCGCCGCCCCTTGGCCGGCGGGCGGACGGAGGGGCCCCGAGCTACGACAGCAAAGATGATCGGAGTAAAGAGGACGGCGCAGCCGCCTGCAGCGCGTTACCGTTCCCAGAGACCGCTTCCCCAGTCTCTGAGTGAGGTAGGGCAGGCATTTACTATCGTACCCATTTTACCGATGTCAGTGAGGTCAAGTGACTTGTTGCATTTCTTCCGTCCGACACTGATTAATCCTGTGACGTTGCGGTAGGCGCTGAGGAGATAAAAAGCTTGTACGTTTGTACACAGTCCCTGTCCTCCTGCAGGCTGCAGTCCTGTAACAAGATGGAGTCATACCTAGTGCAAGTATCATTCCTGTTATACAAGTGTGGAAACTGAGGTTGTTCCTTTGGAAATGAGACTTCATTCCATGAATTTCTCCTTGTGTTCCTTCTGCTTCTTTGTGCTTAACAAGTTCTTCCTGGTGTTATTGTGAGGGGCTACTGTGGATTACTCTCTGTTCCCATAACTCTGGCTTAGCCCTGTGTCTGGCACATAGGTACTTAACAAATGCTTATTCTCTTCCGTCCCGTTTCCCCAACTCAGCATTCTGTGACTGCCTTTGTCTCCCACGTCTGAAATGTACTCCCCTTCACCTCCACTTCTTAGAACCCCCATCTTTGTTCAAGCCTTGGTTCATATGCCATGTCCAAAGGTAAGCCTTTGCTGATAATCCCTTTCCCCAGTACCCTCTACTTTTTAGAATTAGGTGTATTTATTTCTCTGTGTATATATTGAATTCTCTCCCCTAATAGAATATATTATATATGTAATTGGAATATATATATAGACTATGTAAAAGCTCCTTGTGGACAAGAACAGCTTTTGTTTTTTCTTTTGATCTTTAGTGTTTACTACTATGCTTTGCTCATATTGGACTGTTGGATTGGATTAGAGGGAGGTTCTAAATGTTAGAAAGTTCTTCCTTGAATTGAATTGAACCTCTGTTTGTCTCCTTGTAATTTACAGCCATCTGTCTTAGTCTTATATCTCCCTATTGAATTGTAAATTCCTTGAAGACATTGACTATGTTGTTTACATATCTGTATCCACAGGGCCTTGCAAACAGTAAAGATTTAATAAATATTTGTTGAATTGAATTAAGATTTGGAGAGGTGAAATGATTTGCCTGGAGAGATAGCTAAGCAGATCTTAGAGATGGCATTCAGACCTCCGTGTCCTAACTTCAAGTCTTGTGCTGTTTCCACTGTAACTGGCTCCCTCTCTAGGTATGCATGCAGAGTCAAAGAATATGATGACAGGTATAATTTGGCCCTTTTTCTGGGGCCTTCAGGAAATTTCCTTTCCCTCTTGGAAAGGAGGCATCTTGGGACGCCTTTGCATTACCCAGTGTTGGACCCAGAAGATTCTGATACAAACAGTCTTGTACCTACTTTGTGGAACCCTTCTTCTCTATGAAGGTGGGATCCCAGCTCCTTTTCTTTTTTATTATATTTGAGGGAAAAACACTGACACTAAATTTTTTGTAGCTAACAGCCACAGAATCTTAGATTTGAAAGGCTGTTTCAGGTTAACTTTCCACTTGATGCAGGAATCCACTCTTTAATATTTCAGAGTAGTAGTCATCCAGACCAGGATGGTGAACTCATTAGTGTAAAGGCAACTCATTCTTTTGTTGGATAGCTCCATTTGTTTTTTTGTTTTTTTAATTAATTTATTTTTCGTTTTCAACAATCACTTCCATAAGCTTTTGAGTTTTAAATTTTCTCCCCCTTTCCGCCTCACCTTCCTCCCCAAGATGATGTACAAGTGGATATAGGCTCTACATATACATTCCTATTAAACATATTTTCATATTAGTCATGTTGTAGGGAAGAATTAGAACCAGTAGGAGGAACCACAAGAAAGAGAAAACAAAACAAAACAGAAGGAAAAAAAAGCAAATTGTGTGCTTCAATCTGCATTCAAACTCCATAGTTCTTTTTCTGGATATGGATAGCATTTTCCATTGTGAGACTTTTGGAGATGTCTTAGATCCTTGCATTAGTCCTCACACAATGTGGCTATTACTGTGTACAACATTCTCCTGGTTCTGCTCACTTCACTCAGCATCAGACCATATAGGTCTTTCCAGGTTTTTCTGAAGTCAGCCTGCTCATCATTTCTTATAGCACAATAGTATTCCATTACATTTTCATATACCAGATCTTGGCCACCACAGAAAGAGCTGCTATAATATTTTTGTACATGTGGGTCCTTTTCCCATTTTTATGATGTCTTTGGGATACAGCCCTAGAAGTGCTATTGCTGGGTCAAAGAGTATGCACATTTTTATAGCCTTTGGGCATAGTTCCAAATTGTTCTCTAAAATGGTTGGTTCATTTCACAACTCCACCAACAATGCAGTAGTGTTCCAATTTTCCTACATCTTCTCCAATATTTATCATTTTCCTGTTTTATCATGTTGGCCAATCTGAGGATAGCTCCATTTGTTAGAAAATTTCTTGTATGTGTGGAACCTAAATCTGGCTTACAAACAACTGGCTCTCTGAAAAAATGAAACAAAACTGTACATAGGGCACATTTTAAGTTTAATCTGCATTCTTAACATTTTCTCTATCACTGTCTGAAGTCCAGACAATCAGCAAAATAATTCAAGCCTTAACGTATAGCGCTTGCCAATTTCCAAGGTGTAGATGCTCACACTGAAAATTTAACAATTGGCTTGAGCGTAGGTATTAGCTGGCTCCAGCACTCCAGAACACTGCTGCTGCCATGGTTGTTTCGACAGAAGGACTTTGTACATTTTAAAGTACTGTGTAAATGTGAGCTGTTATCATTCTTTTCATTGATCCTGATCCCACCTAAATTGGGTTTGAATTCTGGTTCTTCTACTTTCTAACCGTGTGACCATGGGCAAGTCACAATTTCTCTGGGGTTCGCTTTCTTCACCTCTAAAATGAGGTAGTTGAACTCGATGATCACAGAGGACCTTTCCAATTCTAAATCTAAGAGCCCCTGGAACTACACATGCTTCCTTTTTCACATGATATTTCATCAGAGGTTTGAAAATAACACTCTCCCTATTCCCAGTTTTCTCAACTGCAGTGATGGCTAAGGTCCCTCGAGGTTACAAAGTTTTGATTCGATTCACCAAGCATTTAGTAAACACCTGTATTGTGTTATGAAGCCCTTTGCTCAGCACTAAGGATACAAAGATAAGTCAGGTGCAGGTTCTGTTGGGATGAGTCATGTATATAAATAACTAATATGAGGCAGTGTGGGAGAAATTTGAAGAGGAATATATAATTTTCCACTGGGGGCATCAGAAAACGCTTTATGCCTGAGTTGGGCCTTGACAGAAGTATTTCTTTATTCCTGTTTGTGTGTGTGTGTGTGTGTGTGTGGTGAGGCAGTAGGGGTGAAGTGACTTGCCCAGGGTCACACAGCTAGTAAATGTCAAGTGTCTGAGGTCAGATTTGAACTCAGGTCCTGCTGACTCCAGGGCTGGTGCTGTATCCACTGTGCCATCTAGCTGACCCGGTATTTCTTTATTCCTAAGGCCCTGACTTGGGACCAGACCAATGAGGCTGAGTTTTTTGTGTGACACACACACACCAGCTGTTACTCTGATTCTTTTTTTTTTCCTTTCCTCAGGAGAGGTTCTCTCACAGGTGCTCAGAGGCGAGACATTGTTGTCTTGGGAAACACAAGTGTTCAGTGCCCAGAAACTCAAGTGTCAGTGTCCGGAGCACGAGTCAGAATTAAATCGATATTGTGACTCAGAGTGTGGTGATATCTGCAACTCCAGGCATGCAGGTCCAGGCCTCACTGGAACCAGAGGGACTCCTGATAGTGAAGGTGGAGGAGGATTCCTCCTGGGAGCAGGAAGCTCCTCGACCCAAGGAGGACACCAACTCGGAGATCTTCCGTCAGCGCTTCAGACAGTTCCATTACAGAGAGGCAGATGGGCCTCATGAAGCTTTCAGTCAGCTGTGGGAACTCTGTTGTCGGTGGCTGAGGCCGGAAAGCCGGACAAAAGAGCAGATTCTGGAGCTGCTGGTACTGGAGCAGTTCCTGACTGTCCTGCCTGGGGGCATCCAGGGTTGGGTGAGGAATCGATGCCCAGCAAGTGGAGAGGAAGCTGTAGCCATGGTGGAGAACCTGCAGAAACAACCCAGAAACCCACTGCAGGTGAGTTGGTGGTTGCTACCCGAGTGAAGAGAAAGTGGAGGAACTGAGGGGCTTGGAGAAGGAAAGACTTTTCTTTGCCCTTGGCTTCCTTGGCTTACATCTGGCCATTCCTACCATGGACTCTAGTCTTTGGTATTCTTAAGCATCTCTCTTCAGAAGAGTGTATGATAGGGCTGCAAAACAAAAACAATACTAATAGCTCATATTTTTATAGCATTTTACAGTTTACAAAGTGCTTTCTTTTTAAACACCTTGAGAGCTAAGTAGTACAAATATTCTTGTCCCCATTTTATAGAATAGGAAAGTGAGGCCCAGAGAGAGACAGCTGTATGAACCCAGAATTCATAGGGCTAAAAACTAGTAGTGCTGTAACTTGAACCCATGTCCAGTGTTCTTTCCATTACAGCCTGTTGTTTCTCAGTAAGGATCATTGACAAAAAGGCCTTAACACCTCTTGACAACAAGAGAAGACGTTGATGTTTTCAAATATCTGAAGAGCACTCCTGTGGAAAAAGGATTAGCGTTCTTCTGCTTGGCCCCATCAGGCAGAACTTGAACCAAGAGCAGAGGCTCAAAGAGGCAGAACTGACCTCTCTAAAAGGAAGAGCCTTGCAGTCATTAGAGCTGTCTAGGAATGGAGTACAACACCTTGGGCGAGAGGCAGTTCTGTTACTGTTAGACTTCAGGCAGAGGTTAGTTTGAGTAGCTGTTGGGGAAGCTGCAGAGAAGCTTTTTGCAGAGGCCAAATGGTTAGACCAGTCTTAGCTTTTAAGGCTCCTTTGGACTCTAAGATGCTGGGGCCAGCGCCAGTTCTAGTCCGAGTTGGTGCTTTTTGCTTCTCATTGGTTTCTAACTGTGAGGTTCACTGGGAGTATAGCATGTCATTTCACATTGTTTTGTGCTTCCGGGAAGCAAATAATTCGTTTCTTTATTCTCTTCATGCATCCCTGATGGGTCTACCCTTTTTTTTATTTTGGGGATTTTAACTTAGACTCCCTGACCCTGGACCTTGCACTGATGGGCATATATGTTGTGCATGGACAGGAAGAGCCCTCAGAGGGGACGGAGACTCAGGGAGGAGTTCAGGGGTCCTCGGGCCTCCCGCTGGCACAGAGGGAGAACCAGGCCAAGGGGGTATCTCCAGAGGAAGGGGTGTGGAGCCGAAACCCAGGAACAGAATCCCAGGAACAGAGGAGCCGTGGCTGTAAGTCAGTCTCCATCCCCATAGGAAAGGGGCCATAGAGATGAATTGGGAAAACTTGGGCAGGGGAGAAGGGCTTTAGGACAGATTGCATGAGGGAGAGATTTTTTTTCTTGGCCTCTGGATGAAGGTAATGTGGTCAATAGGATCTTTAGGGTCAAAAAAGGACTGAATGCAGTTACTTTAATGCTTCTAAGTATAGGGTCAGTATTCTATTAATTCTCTAGGCCACATTACAGATGGTATGATGTATGTGGGGGTCATTTGGTGGGCCCCACTGAGCTCCAGGTGTTGTAGAGGGAGGGTGTGAGCCCTGGAGAGGGCTGTATTTCTAGAGATGATTTAGTTTCCCTAATGGTTCCATTCTTTGTCCACAGCTCAACCTGCTTCCCGGCTTCCTGCCCTTCTAAAGGAGGGGGGCACCAGAGAGATGGTAGATGCTTTCTTTTCTTCTGGGATCCATGTGAGTTGTGGATACCTCAGGACTTTGACAGGCTGATATAATATAACGTTACTCTACCATTCTAAGACGAGCCCTGGACTTTGAAATGCCTGTTGAGTACATGGCATTTTGCTAGGTATCCAGGGAGGTACAAAATTTAAGACATTGTACCTACCATCGTGAAGATTACAATCTAGTAATAATAGGATATGATAAGAACTAAGAGCCTTAAAAACCCTCTGTTTAGATCTGTAGTATACAAAGGCCTCAAAACCAAACCATCTCCTGGGTGTGTAGAGGAAATGGCTGGAGAAGGTATTGCAGTATCCTGGCTCGAAGCCACCTCTTTCAGTAGACTTGGGTCAAACATAGGTATTTCATGATTGCAATGAGGACCAGTCATGAGGTGAGAGATCCACATCCGTCTTCTTCTTTAGCTCCAGCTCTTGAGTTTAGTTTTAAGGAATAGGTAGGATTATTAAAGAGGATGACAACAATGAGACAACATAGCAAAATCTATGAGATGCATCCAAAGCAGTATTTAGGGGAAATTGTATATCTCTAAATGCTTATATCAGTAAAATAGAGAAAGAGCAGATCAATGAATTGGGCATGCCAGCAAAAACACTAGAAAAAGGACGAATTAAAAATCCTCCTGGCCATAGAATATGACCTTCATGATATGTTGCTGTAACCTCCTTGCTGGTATTTTATTTAAATTTTTAGCATCAATAGGAAAAATGGTCCATAGTTTCCTTTCTCTATTTTCACTCTTCTTGGTTTAGGTATTAGCACCATATTTGTGGCATAAAAGGAATTTGGTAGGACTCCTTCTTTGCATTTTTCTAAATAGATTATATAGTATTGGGATTAATTGTCCTTTAAATGTTTTGTAAAATTCACTTGTGAATCCATCTGGCTCTGGGGATTCTTTTCTTAGGGAGTTCATTGATGGCTTGTTCAATTTCTTCTTCTAAGATGGGGTTATTTAAGTATTCTATTTATTCTTCTGTTAATTTGGGCAGTTTACGTTTTTTAACTATTCATCCATTTTACTTAGATTGTCAATTTATTGGCATATGATTGGGCAAAATAGCTCCTAGTAATCGTTTTAATTTCTTCTTCATTGGTGGCAAATTCACCCCTTTCATTTTTGATACTAGTAATTTGGTTTTCTTCTTTCTTTTTTTAAATCAAATCAACCAATGGTTTATCTATTTAATGGGTATTTTTTTCATAAAAAACCAGCTTCTTGTTCTATTTATTAGTTCAATGGTTTTCTTGCTTTCAGTTTTATTAATCTCTCCTTTGATTTTCAGGATTTTCAATTTTAGTAGAAATGCTAGCTATGGTGTTAAGAGAAAAAAAGAATTTGAAGGAATTAGAATAGGCAATGAGAAAACAAACCTAACACTCTTTGCAGATGATATGATGGTATGGAGAATCCACTAAAAAACTAGTTGAAATAATTGACAACTTCAGCAAAGTTGCAGGGTATAAAATAAACCCACATAAATAATCAGCATTTCTGTATATTACCAACAAAGTCCAGCAGCAAGAGATAGAAAGAGAAATTCTATTTAAAACTACTGTAGATTACATAAAATACTTGAGAGTCTACCTGCCAAGGCAACCCAAAAACTATATGAATACAGTTACGAAACTTTTCTGAAACAAATAAAGTCAGATCTAAACAATTGGGAAAATATTAATTGCTCGTGGGTAGGCTAGGCCAATGTAATAAAAATGACAATTCTACCTAAATTAATCTACATATTTAGTGCCATACCAAATCAAACTACCAAAAAGTTATTTTATAGAGACAAAATTCATCCGAAAAAAACAAGAATCAGTGGTAAAAAGTGTGGAGGAAGGTGGCCTAGTCATACCATATCTCAAACTGTTACAAAGCAGTAATCATTAAAACAATCTGGTAATGGCTAAGAAATAGAGTGGTGGATCAGTGGAATAGTTTAGGTACACAATACATTGTAGTAAATGATTATAGTAATTTCATATTTGATAAACCCAAAGATCCAAACTTTTGTGTTTTTTTATTATTTTATTATTATTTTTTAAAATTATTTTTTATACGATCCAACCTTTTGGAACAAAAACTGGAGAATAGTGTGGCAGAAACTATATATCTTATCTCTATATCTATCTATCTATCTATATACATACCAACATCTCATAACCTTTACTGAGATAAAGTCAAATGGATACATGGTTTAGACATAAAAGATGATACCATAAGCAAATTAGGAGAGCATGAAATAGTTTACCTGTCAGCTCTATGGATAAGGGAAGAATTTAGGACCAAACAAGATATAGAGAACATTACGAAATATACAATAGATCATTTTTAAAATTAATTTATTTTTAGTTTTCAGCAATCACTTCCATAAGCTTTTGAGTTTTAAGTTTTTCTCCCCCTCCCTCCCCAAGTTGGTGTGCAATCTGATATAGGCTCTGCATATACATTTCTATTAAACATATTTTCACATCAGTCATATTGTAGGGAAGAATTAGAACCAATAAAAACTTTGAACAAATAGTTTGGTTTGACTGGAGCATAGAATACTTGGGGGAGAATAACATGAGATGTAAAGTGTAAATATAGGGTGGTAGCAGATTTTGAAGATCCCTAAAATGCCTGATGAAAGCATTTTATTTGATAATTTTTGAGGGGCAGTTAAGAGCCATTGAAGGGTTTTTGAGCAGATCTTTGCCTAAGGGAAATAACTCTGGCATTGGTGTGAAGGACCAGTTAGAAGAGAGAGAGCCTAAAGATAGGAAGACCTTTATTAGGAAGTTACTTTATTAAGTCCTGGAATCATGAAAATGGGAATAGAAAGGAGGCAGATATGAGACATATTTCAGAGATAGAATCAATAACTCTTTATCAGTAATTGGCTATAAAAGCTAAGGAAATTGGGGGCTTAAAACAACTAAGATTTCAAATATAGGTGACTAAGTGAATCATGTTATTATTGACAGAAGTAGTGAAATCAGAAGGAAGAATGTGTTTTATGAAGAAAACAGTAAGTTGGGTTTTGCACATGTTTGAAATCAGGTGGATGGAGATGGGCTGGACTTAGGGAGAGAGAACAGGAATAGAAATACAGATTTGAGAGTCATCCATGTAGAAGTGATGACTTTATAGTGGGGTTCTTCACTGAGGTCCATAAACTTGGGTTTCTTTTTTTTTTTTTTGGTGAGGCAATTGGGGTTAAGTGACTTGTCCAGAGTCACACAGCTAGTGTTATGTATCTGAGGCCAGATTTGAATTCAGGTCCTCCTGACTCCGGGGCCTGTGCTCTATCCACTGCACCACCTAGCTGCCCCACCTTGGGTTTCTTTTTTTTAGAAAATATGTTGATAACTATATTTTAATATAATGATTTGCTCTGTATCTTATTTTATGCATTTGAAACATTCTAAGTAGGGGTCCATAGGCTTCCCCAGACTGCCAAAGGAACCTGAGACACACGAAAGGTTAAAGGATGAGTAGGAATTCAGCAGGCGAAGAAGTTGAGGAAGGACAAGTTAGGGAAAGAAACAGAGTAAGAAAGAGTTTGTCCTCTTAGGTTGGGATACCACTTTATTGTATTCTTCAGATTTGTGCCCCTCCCTGCACAGCACAGTGTGGTGGCAACAGTACCGGATAGGGAGTCGGGAGAGACCCTCTGGTACATAGAGCTGAGTGCTCACGGACGAGATACTTCCTTTCTGAGCTTCGTTTTCTTCATCTCTGAAATGTGGACAGTAGTTCTCACGGGTTGTCATGAGAATCTCATTAGATGTATTTGTGAAAGTCTTTGCATGGCTCAGAGCACTGTCCAAAATTCAGTGGCTGTTGGCCTTTTGCCCTTGTCACATCCCAGCCCTGTAAGTCCAGACCTGAGGGCTGAGATCAGCTGACACTGAGCCAGACTGTCCCACTGTTTCAGGGACCAGTGTCATTTGGAGATGTGCCCTTTTATCTCTCTCGGGAAGAATGGGGGTGTCTGGATCCTGCTCAGAGGGACCTCTTCTGGGACATAAAACGGGAGAACTTCCGCAATGTCTCTCTGGGTAAGAACTGTTTTCACACACGGTTGAGTCTCTCATATATTCAGTTCTCTGAGCTCTACAGTCTGTTAACCCCTGTGTCACTAGGTGGTGACTTCTCCCAGTTTGGCCTATGGCAAAGGAAGTGTGACTGGGGCTGATCCCAGAAACTGTAGGGTCTTCATCTGCTTCCTCTTGCCCATATAGTTTTCTATATGGCTTTCCAGATTCCATTAGAGGAGGGGGTGGGTATGATGAGAAGACAGTGAGTGCTTCCTTGTTGTGAAGGAAACTTCACACGGGTCATAAAGTGGACAGGAGCAGTCAGGATGGTCTCTTCTTCAGTGCCTTTCCCTGGCGTGGTTTGATAGGCTTAGTTCCTTACTTCTTCTTAAAGTTAGGTAGTTTAATTTGTCCTGCCTTGTGTCAGATGAGATGCCTGATGACCTGTTTTCTCCACTCAGGTTTGGGGATCAAGCATCAGAATGAGGAAGCTTCCTACCAGGCTAGTGTAAAAGAAGTAGAGCCACTGCCTGGAAGATCTGGAGGTGACGTGCCCTGGAGCACTGAGGAGGGTGAAGTCTGGGAAAGTGAGAATCGACCTGACCCGGAGCTAGGGCAAGAGCGCCTCATGGGGGTGAGGCGAGGACGCCCTCCCACACGCCGGAGACAGTTCCGAGACTTGGCAGCTGAGAAACCCCACAGCTGCCAGCAGTGTGGAAAACGCTTCCGTTGGGGTTCAGACCTGTCACGGCACCAGCGCACCCACACGGGTGAGAAGCCCCACAAGTGCCAGGAATGTGAGAAGAGTTTCCGCAGCTCCTCAGACCTTGTTCGCCACCAGGGTGTCCACACAGGTGAGAAACCTTTCACCTGTACTGAGTGTGGCAAAAGCTTCAGCCGAAGCGCATACCTCACTGACCACCAGCGTATCCACACCGGGGAGAAGCCTTATGAGTGCACTGAATGTGGCAAGAGCTTCTCTCTCCGCTCCTACCTGCTAGACCACCGCCGAGTGCATACTGGTGAGCGTCCCTTTGGCTGCAGTGAATGTGACAAGAGCTTCAAGCAGCGGGCGCACCTCATTGCCCACCAGAGCCTTCATGCAAAGATGGCACAGTCGGTGGGATGACCATGGCTCTCTCCGTGGAGGGGGAGCCTCCAGGTGGAGAGGAGATCCAGAAGGAAGGAAAACAAAAGACTGCTCTAACCACCCGGCATCAATGACAGGGCCCGCCTGAGCAGACTCCAAAATGTCTGGAAATTCCCCTTTCCAATTAAAGGTCATTCTTGCCCCTTTAAGATACCATGAGGATCTCTTCATCCTTCGTTTCCCTGATGGTTATGTTGCAGCCCTTCCTCCCACCTGCAGCAAATATCGACTTCAGTCAAACAAAGAAAACTTGACTGTCACAAGAAACTAGAGGCACTTCTGTTTCCTTGGTCCCCTTGAACTTCATCTTCAGAAACTTGCAGAACATGCATCCATCCATATTCTTCAAAACCAAGAAAATAATTTTATGACTTTTTAAAATTTATTTTTCCCTTCTCTTTTCTTTGTTCTGTGTTCCTTTCCATCTTCCTCTCTTGTTTTCACTTAATGTTTCTGGAGTCTGGAAATATATACTAATTTGAAGACATAAGGGCATGCAGTGAGATGAAGGGAAGTTGAGACAAATCCCTTACCTGCCCATACTTTGCACATTTTCTCCCCTGACCGCCATCCAACCTCGAGACCAATAGACCCCTAAAGGTTTCTGGCCACAGTAATGCTTTTATCTTCTTCCACCCTGATAAGTCCACAGGCAAAGGAACCAGCCACCTTCCAGCAGGGTGCAGCTGCTCCTCTCTTGGTGATGATGACACTGTTGAAGCCACCATCACTCTCATTAGTACCAATCCTCCTGTCCTTCTCTAACTTCTAGAAATGAGAGGAGGGGAAGGGAGTGATGTGTGAAATAATCTGTCGAAAGCATTTGAGTATGAGGTGATGGAGTGAGTGGTCTTTCTCAGCCTCCTTCCCTTTTGCTCCCTGATTCTGCCCCAGTCTCACTTCTTTTAGAGCATTTTTTTCCTCATACAGCAGTGTATTGAATGTCTCTGTTATCTCTAGAGTCTTGAGAACCCAAGTAGACTCTAGTGGAGCCTCCTTTGGGGTTTAGGAAGGACTCCACTGGGCATTTCAGGCCTCTGAATCTTTGAAGGAGGTTGAAGAAGGCAGTTTTTAATCATTGTCTCTTCTGGAGGCCTCTGAGAATGTCTCTTCCATGTTCTCCATGTCTCCTTCCCCTGCCTGAGCCCCCAATGACCACTGTCTTCAGCTTCTTCTCTTACTCAAATCCTGCCCCAGCCAGAAGACAGCTGTAACTCCTAACCTTCTTTTCTCTGGACCAAAGAATTCCTTTCACATTTCCAGAGAATGTCTGCCTCCCAGACCTTTCTGTCCTTATTTCTATGGCTATCCTTTGTATCCTCCCTAAGCTCTCCACATCCTTCCCAAGTGATTAAGAGCCCAGCAGGACTCTAGTAGAGTGACCCTTGATCTATAGAGGGGGAGGAAAGTGCACTCCAATTGATATTTCCAGGATCTTACCAACCTTCAACCTTCTCTGTAAGAGTTCTTCCAGGTCTGACATTCAATGATAAGCTATCCTGTGACTACAGAAATGAGGCACAAGGTGGGGCAGGGAGCTGAAGGGGTGGGGATAGGGGGTGAGGACTGTGGCCCATAAGAATTTTGGACATTGCCCATGCCCCTCTGTACTGGGAGAGGGAGTATACTTCTTGGATACAAGGAAAGGGAAAGAAATGGAATGACTTGGATAGGTCCCAAGATCCCTATCTTTGTTAATGGCAGAAGATAAAGACTGACCTCTGGGGAGCCTACTGTAGTCCCAACCCTTGTAAAAACCAAGCTGTAGTGTAATGCCTGACTGAGAGTCACTTGACCTAGGTGATCTCTGCCACTTACCCTATGTGGTGTGAGGCAGGGAATGTCTCTCTAGACTTCAACAGGGGTTTAATGCCAACTTGGAAAGAAGTTTCTAGGACAGTGCCCCAGGGATCTGTGCTTGGCTTTGGGCTATTTAACATTTTCATCAGTGACTTAGATAAAGACACAGGTGATATGCTTGTCAAATTTTCAGGTGACAGCTGAGGCTGGGGATAGCTACTACTTTGGGTGACAGGATTTTAAAAGCTATTGAAAGTCTAGAATATTGGGCCAGATCTGATTACATGCATTTGATAATTATCTGTGTAAAATCTTACCGTTGATTCTTAAATAGCAGTTTCACCAAGGACAAGATGGAGCAAGCATTTAGATAGCTCTTTGTCTGAAATCTGGATGTGTTAGCCTATATTGCAGGTCCAACATGAGCATTATGGCTAGAACGAAGAGGGTAATTGTCTCACTGCTTTTGTCAGACCACATGTGGCGTGTCGGTTCAGTTCTGGGCACCGTATTTTTTAGGGGGGCCATTGATAAGAGAACGACTAGGATGTTAAAGGACCATGAGGTTGGTTGGGGAAAAAAAAAACCAAACAGGATGGTTATCTTGAAAATAAAAGACTTAGCAAGGAAATGATAACTGTCTACAAATATTTGAAGGGTTGTTGTATAGAAAAGGGGTCTAGCTTGTACTGCTTTATCCCAGAAAATAGAATAGGAAAACTTCCTAATACAGTCAGTGGTATCAGAAGCGTAAAGGACTGATTCTAGAGGTGGTGCATTCCCTCACACCTGAGGGCGTCAAGCAGAGTCCGCCGGATAACCCCGTGTAGGGTATGTTCTGTAGAGGACTCTTGTTTAGGCACCAAATGGACTGGATGACCTCGGAGGCCCCTCCTTGAGGGTTTGTGATGTCACCGCTGGAAGAGACCATAGAATGTAGCATGTTAGGCGCTTACAGAAGGCTGTGTGATATACTGTCAATCCTGTTCAACTTGGAGTCAGGACCTGAGATCTGGATTTGAATGTCACGACCGGCAAGTTGTAGCTTCACAATCACTGCCAACTCATTTAACCGCTAAGGTTTTCTCCACTGTAGTAGCTATGTAATACCTATCTTTCGGGGGTGGTTTGTGAGGATCAGATGTGCATAAAGGAGAAAATGGTTTGGAAACCTTAAGCACTGTAAGGGTTCATCAGGTACTATCAGTTAATCCTTAGCCCCATCACTGAATTAAGTCCAGAGAGGAGAAAGCTTGGCCAAGGTCAAGATTAATAGCAGAGGGGGCAGCCAGGTGGCTCAATGGATAGAGCACCGGCCTTAAAAGTCAGGAGCACCCGAGTTCAAATCCAGCCTCAGACACTGGACACTGTCTGTGTGACCCTGGGTAAGTCACTTAACCCCATTGCCTAGCCAAAACCAAAAGATTAGCAGCAGAGCTGAGTCTAGTACTTGGGTACTGAGCCCAGGGATTCCCTTAATGAGTATGGTATAGGCAGAACAAGGAATGAATGAAGAAGCATTTGTTAAGTATTTACTATGCGTTAAGTGCTGGAAAGACAGTGAAGAAATGACAGTTCTTGCTCTCAAGTTTACATTCTAATGGTTGGTAAGGTATAGGAAGTTTCAACTGCCAGTCAGATGGAAAGGCCCATCTTACATTACCTGTAGCACAGCACAATAGTATAACGTCCTGTCCTCTTGCTGGGAGTGTGAATATACCTGGAAGTTCAAAAGAAATATGACCTTAAAGTGTAACCAGATCAGGGAAGAGGAAGGCAGGGGCCAAGTATAACTCACGGACAGGATTGGCCTTGGGGAAAGTCATTGAAGATCCAGGAGAAGAGCCGGGTGATGGCAGACAGCCTGTCTTATTCCTGTAAAGGGAGCAGTGTCTAAGGATGAGGACCAGGGCAGTGAGTTAGATTACTGGGGAATCAGAAATTAGCTCCCCATTCAGATCTCAAAGATGAGGTCAGAGTCCAGCTCTTATGTAGTCATAAATTGAGTTTCAAGGTGCAAGACCCAGAGATGAGGGAACCTGGGAGTGGGAGCCCAGTGGGGACAGCCAGAGTCCAAGAGGCAGAGAGACAGTGATTCTGCTCATGGACTGCCTGGTGGCAAGCTCCTTGCGGGTAGCAGTGGAAAAGGCAGAGGCTAGGGAGTGCCTGAAGAGGAAGGTAGGTGAGGCAAACCTAATGACTTCATCCTGATGTTAGGCTCTTTCCCCCTACTCTGTAGCTGACTTGACCCCATCTTCCCCCCTGGACTCCTGACTGTCTAGGAGGAGAGACTGCCCACTCTCCACTTGTCTTCCCAGGGGGAATATGACATGACTGGGGCCCGAGTGGCCCTGACCCTTTGTGCCTTGGGAGGGCAAACTGGAGAGGATAAGGCAGTTGCTGCTCTGGAGGTTATGTACCAAGCACTGGGTTTTAAGAACTGCCTTAGAAGAGTGGCCAAGGCGCAGGTGAGTGATTTTCCCAATGGCTTTTGCATCCCTCTGAGATCCCAACTCCTCTCCCAACGCTCAAACAATCAGGCCTCTTGCTCTTCCAGTCTTTCCAGAAAGAACTGGCTGATTTCCGCGAGCTTCTGGATGCCCACGGGAGCCCCATCAGCTGCGCTTTGGTCGTCCTCTTAGCTCACAGTGAATGTCGAGGGTCGCTTCTGGGGCCAGATGGGAGGGAGGTGCAAGAGAAGGAGCTGGTTGAAGAACTGAGCCACTGCCAAGCGTTGTGGGGCAAAGCCAAGGTGTTTCTGTTGCTGGGTAGCCACAACAGTGAGTGAGAACCAACATGGGCAGCTGGGTTTGGGGAGAAGGGTAGGAACAGGGGCACTGGGGACATCTTCACTGGCTTCCCAGATCCACTTGTGTCCCAGCTCCTCTCTGAATTGACCCCACTTTTCCCTTCTTGTCTCCAGCAGATTTGGAATCCAATGCTTTTCTTCCCATTCTGACAGACCACTGCAGGCACTTTCCCCACTGGCACCTGCTGGAGGTGCTCACCCAGGTCTGGACTGGCTTAGCAATGGGTGGGTGGATGGGGGTCCTACCATGACCTCTGGGGCCCACAGCTCAGTTCACCTTATCTGTCACATTTCTCATATATTTGCTCAACAAGTTTTACACACACATACATACATGCATACACATGCACACATAGTTGGTGTGTGAAAGAAAGAATAGTTTAGTGGAAAGAAGCTTGGAGTCAGTCAAGAGAGGAAGACCTGAGTTCAAATCTGGCCTCAGACATTTATCAGCTGTGTGACCCAGGACAAGTCACTTAACCCTGTTTTGCCTCAGTTTCCTCCTCTGTAAAATGAGCTGAAGAAGGAAATGGCCAACCACCCCCCAGTGGGGTCATGAAGAGTTGGATGTGACTGAACAATGACAGTGTTTGTTCCCTTCCTTCCCGTTACTCCCCATGTCCTCTGCATTTCAGTCAAACTGGAAGATCTACTTTTCTAAATCCTAATTCCACACCTGTACTCAGTTGTTCCTTCCCTCTGCAATGCTTTCCTTTTTTTTCCTTTCCTATCCAAACCTAACTGTCCTCAAGATCCATATCCATGATACCTTCACAGATACTCTAGTCAAGATCTCCACCCGCCCCACCCTGACCCCAATCTTATGGCTTTCACACACCAACTATATGTGTACATGTGCGCATCTATGTGAAAGAAAGTATAGTTTAGTGGAAAGAAGCTTGGAGTCAGTCGAGAGACCTGGGTTTCAATTTTGATTCCCGGCTGTGTGGCTTGACTTTCCTGAGCTTCAGTTTCCTCAACTGCAAATTGGTATAAAAGCAGAGTTGCAGGGAAAACATTTCATAAATCTTTGGGATAAATTCGAGTCAATCTCTTAAGTCCCAACCCTGAATTCTTTGATGCTATTTTCTAGCACTATTTATTCAGTGTCTATTAGGAAGGAGCTTGAAAAGGTCAACTAGTCCATCTAGAGAAGACAAGGGAGTTTAGACAAGAGAAGGGACTTGCTCAAGGTCGCACAAACCAGGATCAGGACAATGCATGGGAGCTGATACTGAGAGACGTACAAGAAGATCAAGGCAATGGGAGTGGTTTAGGCAGCATTGTGAGACGGGGAAAGTATTGGATTTGAAGTCCAAGTACTTGAATTCAAATCCTGGCTCTGTCACGATCTTGGGGAAGTGATTGAATCTCTCTGGGCCTCATTTCTTCCTCTGTAAAAATAAGAGAGTTGAACCAGATGGTCTCAAAGGTCCCTTCCAGCTCTGTCTATGATGCTGTGAAATAACTGGCTTAATGAGATATTGGCCAGAAAAGGCGTAGGAATAATGAGATAAATAATGCCTTAAGGTTTACTAAGTGCCTTACAATACCTTTGAGGTATGCGGTACATGAGTCATCCTCATTTTACAGATGAAGAAACTGAGGCTCAGAGATTCAATGTCTTCATTACACAGCTAGGAAGTGAGAGTCACCTAGTCCCATAAGATTGGGGTCAGGGTGGAGCAGGTAGAGGTCTCTGACTAGGAGGATCTGTGAAGGCGTTTGGTGAATTTGGTTGTGACCCCACTGGGGGGTGGTTTGCCATCCTTCTTCAGCTCATTTTACAGAGGAGGAAACTGAGGCAAACAGCATTAAGTGACTTGCCCTGGGTCACACACAGCTGATAGGTATCTGAGGGCTGATTTGAATTCAGGTCTTCCTGACGTCCAGCTCTCTATCCACTGCACTATCTACCTGCCCTAAGCAAGCATTAAGCCCCTGCAGAGTGCCAGGTGCTTTACAAATATCTCATTTGATCCTCACAACAGCTCTGGAAGGGGTGGGGTGTAAGTGCTATTATTAAGCCCATTCTACCGTTGAGGAAACTGAGGTTAAGAGACTTGCCTAGGGGGTCACACAGTAAGTGTCTGAAGTTGGATTTGAACTCGGATCTTCCTGACTCCAGGCCTAGCACACTATGCACAATGCCACTTAGCTGCCTCTTGGGAGATAAGGCTGGAAAGGTAGAGAGACATCAGATCATAAAAGGCCTTGTTAGTGATGAGGTTTGTACTGGAACTCAGGTCTTGAGATTCTGTCTAGTAGTATGTTTGCTGAACGTCCTCCCCAGATTTCCCCCCACCTTCCTCACTTTTATAGTAACTTGTAGTTATAATTAAAAGCAAGATTGATGAAAGAACCCTGCTCTCCTTCCCAAGATTCTTGAACCCAAAGTGTGCCACCGCATAGGCCTAGGCCCTACCAATGCCTTCATCTTCAGGCCATTCGTTAGGTTATGCGTGGGTCTGGGAGTCAGCCTCTGAAACCTGCTACGGCTCCCCACATCCCATCATGAGCAAGTTTCATAGCGTGTTGGAGATAATCTGTCCCGCCCTATCTTAAGCAGTTACCTTTATAATATCTTCAACAAATAGTTGTCTTCTGCCTAAAGACTTTCATTGTCTTCAAGCTCACTACTTACCAAGGTAGCCCATTCCATTGCTGGCAGCTTTGACTGTTACAAAGTTCTTATAGAGTTCAAATAGACCTTCCAGTAATTCCCACCCAATGGCCCTACTTCTGCCCTCTCAGGCCAGACAGAACTAGTCTACTCTTCATGTTCCCCCTAAGACTTCTCTAGGCTAAATCCCTAGCTCCTTCAGATTCCTTTTTGGCTGATTGCCCTTCCTCCTCCTGTCAGGTCATTGGCGAAGTAACTCAAGAGATGCCTACTACCACAGGGCACAGGTGCCCCATCTTCCAGAGCTCCCTTCGGGGTGCACTGTACTTTGGGAGAACAAGGTCACAGGACCTGGAGGTACGAGGGGACCAGATATGTTGTCCATAGGGACAGGACCTGGGGAGAAAGGAAAGAGAAGAGAGACTTGAGGGAAAGGGAGAGAAAGTGCATATGGGAGTGCGTGTGTGTGTGTGTGTGTGTTTGAGAGAAGCCCAGGACAGAATGAGCAGGGGCCTAGAGTTAATGAGAAGGAGTAGTCGAGAGAAAAAGGGAGAAAAGGAGTTAGAAGAACAGGGGAACAAGAGGTTAAGGTTGACCACTCCTTCCGCTTTAGCCACTCCCCCCTCAAATCAAGTTTCTCTCTTCTCTCCCCTTTTTGCTCCCCCAGCTCAGCCCCATCCCTCAAGGGGTATATGACATGTCTGGGGAAAAGGTGGCCCTTGTCTTATGTGTCACCCAGGACCGCCTCGGGGCTGAGCAGGACCTTAAAGGCCTGAAGAGGTTGTTCCAGACTCTGGGCTTTAAGAGCATTCTGAAGATGGACCCTACTGCCCAGGTGAGGTACTGGAAGGGGTGCAAAGGGGATGGGGGGAATGAAGTGAGGAGAGTATAGAGGTAGGTAAGGAGTGGGCTAGACTGACCCAGGGCTTCATGAAGGCCCAGGGACCTAGGAAATTCCCTGACTTCCCTTGTTGGCTGACTCTAATGTTCTGATCTTAGGCCTGTAGCTTACAATCTATGTGCTCTCAGCAAAATCACTTTTCCTGGTCTAATTTTTCTCAATTGTAAAATAGAAGGGTTAGACTTGATGATATCTAAAGTCCTTTCCAGATCTAAGTTAATGATCTTAAGGTTCCATACTCTGCACTGAAGGTCTAAGGTCCTTCTCTATTCCTCTTGCTGCAATAGCAACTAACCCTTTCCCCTTGGTTGATTCCATCTTTTCATTCCTAAGCTGCTATCCTGGTTGGTCTTTCCCTCATTGGCCATCCAAATTTCCTGGTGTCCAGTTTCTCCCAGAAAACATGATTCACAAAACACCCATCCCCTCTAAGAAAGCAGGAAGGCAGTAACTATCTCTTTTTCTCCTTATTCTTCTTTCAAAACTCCTAATGTTGAAATCCAGATTCTCTTCCACTGGCCCAAGCTAATTACAGCCATTTTCACTGGTTGTCTTCCATGCCTGGAATGCTTTCCCTCCTCATCTCTGCCGTTTCCCTTCCCTCAAGTATCAGTTAAAATCCCCCATTCTGCAAGAAGCCTTTCCATGCCCCAAACCCCTGAATGCTAGGACCTTCTGTTTGCTGATTATCTCCAATCTATCTTGTATCTATCTTGTACATAGTTATTTGCATGTTGTCTTCCTCATTAGATTGCGAGGTCTTTCAGGGCAGGGATTGCCCCCCTCCCCTGTTTTGCTTTTTTTTTTTAATTTCCAGCATGTTGCATAATGCCTGGCACATAGTAGGTATTTAATATGTGCTTATTGACTTGAGCTCAACCCAAGAGCTAGGGTGGTAGGGTATTGCACGAGAAGTCATTGGGCCTATGGAAGGGTATTTCTTGGTTAATAGCAATTTCCCAATTTTCGATGAGCATGCAGCAGGATGGATAGTGGTTAGGCAAAGGAAGCAGAGAATTCAAAACTGGAAGAGACTGCTGAGACTGATTAGTCTACCAGGGGTGGGGAACCTTTGGCCTTGAGGCCACATGTGGCCCTCTAGGTCCTCAAGTGTGGCCCTTGGACTGAATCCAAACTTCACAGAACAAATCTTGTTATTCAGGGCATCTGTTCTGTGAAGTTTGGATTCAGTCCAAGGGCCACACTTGCGAACCTAGAGTGCTACATGTGATCTTGAAGCAGAAGGTTCCCCACCCCTGGACTCTAAACCCGTGATCAGACAGGAATCTCTTAACATCTGTGACAAGCGGCCATCCAGCTCTTACCTGAACACTTGCGCACATGGCAGCCCGCTCCACTTTTGGATAGCTCTGTTAGGAACTTTTTCTTACCTGGAGCTTAAATCTACCTCTTTGTAACTTCAGTCCATTGCTTTGCATTCTTTCTTCTGGGGCTAAGGAGAATTATCTTCACATGATAGTCTGTCGAATACTTGAAGATGGCTGGTCTCTCACTCCTATCCCGCTTCAGTCATGCCCAACTCCTTTAAGACTCATCTGCTGTGGTTTCGACTCCCCTCACTGTCCAAGTTAGCCTCCTTTAGACATCTTTCAGCTTATCAATGTCCTGCCTAAAATATAGTTGCCTTATTTGAAAACGGTACCCTGGATGTAGCCTGAGGAGGACAAAATACAGAAGAACTACCACTTTTTTCAATTTATACTCTGTTAATGCACCTTCATATTATATTTGCTTTTTAAAAAACTGTCATGCCTCATTGTAAGCTCAAATGAAATTGTGTAACATTAAATAAAATCCCCACCTGCATATTTCTTCTCTCTCATAAGCTGTTGATCAGCCACACCTCCACATCCTATACTTGTGAATCCACATGTGGGACTTTATCTTTATCCTCATTAAATTTCATCTTATTAGAATTTCCTGGCTGTGATGAGCAGAGTTGGCCTTTGTCAAAATTGTGAAGGAGGCAGAATTTGGTTTATGAAACTCTTCCCAGCTCCTAACCCTATTCAGGCTCTTTTTGCCTTCCCCCTCACCCCTTAGGTCTGTCCTATCACTGAGGAAATGGATCTGAAAAGATCAAACATCTTGAGATGGGAGAGACTGAATATGCTACTTTTCCTTGGAAGGGATGCGTTTGAAATGGGAAGTAATGGGTGGTCCAAAATGAAGCTCTAATGGGTCAAGCTTCATCTAGGGTCAGGTGGGTGAGGGTCAGCACTGATGTGTGTGTGTGTGGGGGGAATCCAAGGAAAATATGTGTTCTCCTTATGAAAAAGATCCTCCATTTTGGGGGTACATTGGAATTCTCCTTGCCCTCAGGATTTCCGAAAGGAATTGGCTCAGTTCCGGGAACATCTGGATGCTTGTAGGACCACTGTGAGCTGTGCCCTGATAGCCCTCATGGCCCATGGGGAACCTCAGGGACGGCTTCTAGGGGCTGATGGACAGATAGTGGAAGTGGAAGAGATGGTGAGAGAGCTGAGTGCTTGTCAGGTCCTGCAGGGTAAGGCCAAAATTTTTCTGCTGCAGGGGTGCCGTGGAGGTGAGTAGGGGATACAGCCCTCTCATAACTTTGAAACTCAGGTAGTAGCTCAGCTTCCAACCATCCATTCTCCCTTCCCAGCCTGCCTTTTGGCTTCATGCCCTCTCTTTTCTCTGACGGTGACTCTCAGCCCAGCTGGTCCCACAAGCCTTCCCAGATCACTCCAAGCCCAAAGTGAACTCTGAAGCCCTCTGCCATCATCTGTGGCACACACTGTTTATATTTTCTAACAGTTGCATATGTGCGAGTTTTGACTCCCTCTTGAAACCATATGCTCCTTAAAGGCATGTGGTTCTATTTTTGTACTATCCCTCGGTAGCTACAAGTTGCCTCATGGATTTTCCTATGAAGGGAGAGGAGAGAGCACTCAATTTAGAGCTGGTGCGCGTGGGTTATTTCTTACTTGCTATACAAGGAAGGCCCATGGGACAATTCCAGCCCTGATATTTATTACCTGAATGACCTGGGGCAGGCCACTCCATCACTTTAAGCCTGAGCTTCCTGACTCACGAAATGATGATACTCATTTCTACCCTCTTTCCATGGGCTGTCAGATAACAGAGACCCAGGCGTGAGACCTAGAGCTTGGCCCTGGCTAGGACGTTGGCTACAACACTGGCTGCAGAGGCCTTCAACTATCCCCTCTCATGCAGACATCCTTCGGGTTTATGCTAACATGCAAGGTAAGTGATTCCTTTTCCTTTAAGGGCCTTGAAGGGATCTCTGAGATCATCTAGTCTTGGTCTACCTCATTAGTTGGCCTTCTTCCTCCCGACTCCTAAGGGTGAGGTCTGTCCTCAGTCCTCATCTATCAGTTTACTATTCAGATGTTTGTGTGTAAATCTCATCCCCCAGTGAACCTGAGGCTAAGGCTGAGGCTAGACCAGGGGTGGGGAATCTACGGTCTTGAGGCCAGAAGCTACATGTGGCCCTCTAGGTCCTCAAGTGTGGTCCATTGACTGAATCCATACTTCACAGAACAAATCCTTTTGGGATTCAGTCAAAGGACTGCACTTGAGGGCCTAGAACCACATGTGTCCTCAAGGCTGCAGGTTCCCCACCCCTGGCTGGACCATTAGCTCATTGAAGTCAGGGTCCCTTCTAACTCTAAATCCATGATCTGCTTTTTATCTTTTGCCTCCTCCTTTTTATCCTTTCCTCCCCAGAACAGAGTCCTGCAGATAGTGTTTGTTGAACTGAACATAACTTTCACGTTTATGAAAAGCTTCATTTTATCCTCACAGTAACTTCATAGGACTTGCAAAGTCTTACTATCTATATTTTACGGATGAGGAAGCTGTGGATCAGAGAGGTGAAGGGATTTGCCCAAGGTATCAGAGCCATTAAGTTGTAGAGACTTGGCAGAGAGAGATAGGCTGTGAGTCTACATTTGGAGACTCCCAAGTCCAAGGTTTTTATCTGCTGTCCTCTGCCACCTCTTCTCATGTATCAGAATTCATAGACTTGTGGAATTTTAGAGTTTGGAAAAGACCTCAATGGCCATCTGATTCATTCCACATTACGATATGACTGACAAATCTCCAAGGAATTCCCATTGCAATCTACTCGACAAATGATTATCCAACCTCCGCTTTAAGACCTCAGTGAGGGGGAATCCCCCAGCTCCTGAGGCAGGCCATTCCACTTTTGAACAGTTCTAATTGTTAGGAAGTTTTTGCTGTCATCAAACCTAAATTTGCCCTTTAGAAAAAACCAAACTCCTACCCATCACACCCCTGGTTCTGTCCTTTGGGGGCAAAGAAAGCACTTTCACATGGCAACCCTTCAAATACTTCAAGAAAGCCATCGTGTTCCCCATGAGTTTCCCTTTTCCATATTAAACTTTTGAAGTTCTTCCAACTAATCCCATGACATGTACGCAAGGCTCTTCACCATCATAGTTGCCATCCTCTGTTCACTTTTTACTTTGTAAATGTCCTTACATTATGTCACCTAGAACTGAACATAATAACCCAGATGCTGTCTGACCAGGATAGAGTACAAAGATTAACCTACAGTTTGCTGGTTGTTCTCTTCCCTTTTTAGAAAATCAGGGCAACATTTACTTTTCACTGCTCCTCCTTTTAAATATGGCAGAAATCATTCCTGCCAGTTCTTTTGCTTAATTTTCTCTAGGCTCCCCTGAATCCTCTATCCATTCCACCTGACAAGCAAAGAACCAATGTCTCCAATTAGAGTCACCCTGAAGACTTTAAGTACTAATAGATACCCAAGAAACCAACCTTGTAGTATTGTGGAATGGAGAGAACTCAGGTAGAGTAGGGTAGTAGGCTAGATTTGGGATCAGTAGACCTGGGTTTAAATTCAAGCTTTGCTACTTATTACTTCTGTGACCTTGGGCAAATCACTTCCTCTCTCTCTCTCTCTCTCTCTCTCTCTCTCTCTCTCTCTCTCTCTCTCTCTCTCTCTCTCTCTCTCTCTCTCTCTCTCTCTCTCTCTCTCTCTCTCTCTCTCTCTCTCTCTCTTTAGGCATTTGGGGTTAAATGACTTGCCCAGGGTCACACAGCTAGTAAGTGTCTAGTGTTTGGTCTGAGGTCCGATTTGAACTCAGGTCCTCCTGACTTCAGGGCTGGTGCTCTATCCAGCCATCTAGCTGCCCCTTCCTTCCTCTCTCTGGGCTTCACTTTCCTCATTTGTAAAATGAGGAGCCTGGACTAGATAATGTTTAAGGTCCCTTCTAGCTGTAAATCGTGTGATTTTAGAAATCCAAGAGAAACTGGGTGGAATCCTCACCTCCATACTCCTTTATCAGGACATGTTTCTTTGAGGAGATAGAGTCTGAAATGAGAAAGGACAGTGCAATGCCTAGGCTGCAGTGGAAGGGGAGAGTTTGCCTTTGGTTTAGGAAATTGGGCAGGTTACAGGATAGAGACAGGAGAAAAGGCTAAGAGGAAGGGTAGCAGAAAGTCAGGGTAAAAGTCTTTGATGGGCATAATAAGCTAACCGTTGCCATGGAGATTTGGGTGGAAGAATGGTAGAGTTAATAAGCTCCTCAAAGGTGAGGACAGAAACATGTTTTGCTTTGCTTGTGAGTTCCTATATGCGACTGCCTGGAGTTAGAGGATGGAGGTGATAGTAATTATTTTCTTTTACAGTAAATAATATTTTCTGGTTTACCCTAGATGTCTCCTCCAGGGAGGACTTTCCTAGGAATACAGACCAAGTGGATATCTTGAGAGTTTATTCAGCTGCAGAAGGTATAAGGGAAATCACAACTGGGGGAAAATAAAACAACCTATGGGCAATAGGAAGAGAATTTGGATTCTTCTCCCAGGACTCAACTGTTGGCAAACAAGTTATTCTCAAGTTCCATTCCCATTCGGTTCCATTTAAGATATTTTTAAAAAATATTTTTACTTTATTTTATTTATTTCTTTTTTTTTTTTAAATAGCTATAATGCCAGGGTTTTCTGGTGTACCCCAAAGACAGCCAAAAGCTCCTAATCCAGAATGAGTGCAGATATGTTTTCCTGGAATTAGCTACTGTGCCTAGTCTGAAACCAACCAATCTTCAGGATGATCAGAGGATCAAGACCTGCATGATTTGGTTACATTTTTAAGATTGTGGTCCTATAAGAAATCCTTACTCTCTGTCCTCTGCCTCACTCCTCTACTAGATCCCAGGTACTCTGTTCTTCTATCATGCTTGGAACTCCCTCTTTCCACCCTCCCCCTAAATGAGAAGGAAAAATGATTGGTGTCTGTTACCCTTTAGGCTATGTGGCATACCGGGATGAGAATGGCTCAGACTTTATCCAGACTCTTGTAGAAGTTATCACAGCTGACCCTCACCAGGATCTTTTGGAGCTTCTGACGGAAGTGAGTGACTGAAGGGCAGCTGAACTTCTTTCCTCACTTACCCCAAGACTTACATGCTCTCCCTCTCATGTAAACAGGATAATCTCATTGCCCCAGAGAGCCCCAACTTGGGGAGCTTAGCTCAAATGCAGACTCCAAGCCCTGCAGAGAAGCCTACATCTAGTCTTATTTTTGCAGGTAAACAGGCAGCTGTGCGAGATGGATGTGCTTGGTCCAGACTGTGATGAAATACGAAAGATGAACTTGGAGATCAGGAGCTCCTTGAGAAAACGATTATATCTGAAGGTCTGAGAGCCGGAAAGCAAGGCAGTGAATCTGGACCTTCAAGGGCCCTATCCCTCAATCTTTCACAACTTTTTTTGTCTTTCTTTCCCCAGTGCCTGGCACATAATAGGTACTTAATAAATTCCTTTTTCCCTCCAATCTTATTTATGTATTGTTTTTACAAGTATTTATTATCTCTCCTTTCCACCTCCCCCCATTGAACGATTAAAAAAGAAAAACATTATAAAATATGTTATAAGTATATTTTAATAAATATATAACAAACACTTTCTCACACTGGCCATGTCCAAAAATGTTACATCTCATTTTACTTTTTAGTAGCAAACTTTTCAAACTTTCTGTAGTTTCACTTCAGTCTTGGATTGGGCAAGGTAGAGATTCAAGGGATTTACTTCCAACCTTGACCTCCTTTTTAGTGCTGACTCTAGGGCAGGGATGGGGAACCTGCAGCCTCGAGGCCACCTGTGGCCCTCTAAGCCCTCAAATGCAGCCCTTTGGATTTAGTCAAAGGACTGCACTTGAGGACCCAGAGGACCACAGATGGCCTCAAGTCTAATCCCTATTCTAGGGATTAGAGAATATACTGCAATTCCTATCATTTCCACTGTGAATTCCCTCAAGGATGGAAATCAACATTAGCACATCTTGGAAGATATTAGGAAATGGCAGCTGTTATGTAGACCCTGATCCTGTCTCTACCTTTGGGTTGATTTTATCCTTTTCCTCTACCGAGTCAGTTTTTCAGTTGAGGGTAATTGAACCCACACATGGGGCAAAGGGATTAGTTTAGTAAGGTAGAAAAGAAAGACATGTTTTTGCACCGGGAAGATTTCCAGACAATATGGATATAATGCTAAAGAGTGCTGAACTTAAAATCATGAAGACCTGTGTTCCAATTTAGGCTTTGCCAGCTTAGGCAAGCACTTCACATTTTTTGTTTTTGTTTTTTGGCTAAGCAATGGGGTTAAGTGACTTGCCCAGGGTCATACAGCTAGTAAGTGTTGTGTGTCTGAGGCTACATTTGAACTCAGGTCCTCCTGAATCTAGGGCTGGTGCTCTACCCACTGCGCCATCCAGCTGCCGCTAATACTTCACCTTTTAAAGCCCTAGTTTTTACATCTGTAAAATGGACATAATATTAGCCTTACCTATCTCACTTGTTTGTTGTGAAAGATTACATAAGATAGTAGATGTGAACCTAAAATGCTATAAAAAGAAGTTATTACTACTAATAATGAAATATTGCTTATTTGCAAACTGGTTATTGTATATTAGTTAGTAGACATAAAGGAAGAGAGATCCTATCTCTGTCCCGAAGAACATTACAATCTAAAGATCTAAGGACAAAATATGTACCTGAGACGTGTGCCTTGGGCATAGTAGGTATTTAATAAATGTTCATTAGATTGGATTAATGTATTTTGGCAAGCATTCACAAAACTTGCTTTCATTACCCATGGGATATTATCTGGGATAATTTTATTCCTTACCCCCCCCCAATAAGAATACAGTTTTCCTACCACAACTCCAATTCTGTTTTAAGCCTCTGGGACAGCCTTTTGTGTCTCTTGATACCTGGACTCACTTAAATTCTCTCATATTCCAACTGAAACTTCTAACACTCAAGTTACTGATGTCAGAGACTCTCCAAGCTAGAAGCCATCTGATGCCAACCCTCTACAATATGCCAAATAAATGGCCATTCAAACTTTGCCTGGAACACCTTGGTGAAGGGGAAACCATTGCCTTGTGACAGCCCGTTCCACTTCTTTATAGTCTGTTTGGAAGTTTTTCTTTACATCTAGCCCAATGTGGGCCTTCTGATGGATAGTAAGACCTGAATCAATTATAGCAGAGGTGTCAAACATGTCTAGCATGAGCTAGATTAAAATGTACTTGGGAAATATTTAACAAAAATACAACAAAACATAGATAACATATATTTTAAAACGAGGTCAATATGTGGACCCCAGGGATCCTTATCTACAGAGTAGTGGTCCCTGTTTCTATTTGAGTTTGACACCATTGAATTAAAGCATATATTGTATTCTGAAGCCTAACAGGAGTCTCATGTGTTTTATTTGTTGTGTGACTGGATGTAAATAGTAACCAAAACATTTTCCATATTCCCTCCAGCTGTTCATGAATCTCTGGTATGAATTCTCTAGTGTCTGCTAAACTTTTCCCACAGTCTTAGCATTGACAGTATGGGTTGCCTAGTACATGATAAGAACTGAGTCCTGAATATAGCATTTATTTTTTTTCCTAAGATGTTCTAGAATTAGAACCTTGTCATTGAGTCGTTTCAGTCATGCCTGACTCTTTGTGACCCCATTTGGGGTTTTCTTGGCAAAGATACTGGAGTGGTTTGCCATTTCCTTCTCCAGCTCATTGTACAGATGAGGAAACTGATGCAAATGAGGTTAAGTGACTTGCCCAGGGTCACACAGCTAGTCTGAGGTCATATTCGAACTCAGATCTCCCTGACTCCAGGCCTGGCACTGTATCCACTTTGCCACCTAGCTGCCCTCATCTAATCTAACCCCTTTATTTTGCAAACAAAAACCTCAAGCCAATCATCGCATAATCAGTTGTACCCACTATACTGCTGAAGTATAAACTAAAACTTTCCCTACGCTTTGGTCACATATATGGCTTCTTTTCCTTGTAGAAGCTCTTATGGATCCTCAATCTCCTGTAATACTTAAATCAGTATGGAAATTCAGGGCATTGATTGGCTTTTTATCCCTCTTGGGCTCCGTTGCACTTACTTAACAAGGAGAGCTACCAAGGAAGCTCTTCTTAACCTTCCTCTTCCTCTCTATGTAGAGTTTTGCTCTGCTTTTTTTCCCCCCTGGTGGCCAGTAAAACATGTCTGCTGGTACAAAGGTTTGTTTTTTCCTGTGCTGACCACATAAAGAGGGCTCTCTTCTGTGAAAGTTAAATAGTACCAAACTAGATAAACTCAGCACTATGCAGCTAACTCAATCCTTGATTGACTGCACCCTCAGCCTCCTCTCCCCTCTATTCGCAGGGCTGTAGAGTGGAGCATCACTCACCTCCCAGTGCCTTCCTTTTTAAAAGGCAGAAACTGGACTCTCATAACACTTCATCTTGCATCTGCTGCCCTTCCGGCTTTCAGATGCCCCCGTGGACAGGTGCCACCAGGTGTGCCGCTCCTCCCCCACCTCCTGCCTCTTTTTGTGTATTATCTCCCCTTTTAGATTGTAATCTCACTGAGAGCAGGGACTATCTTTTTACTAATTGTATCACCAGCGCTTAGCACAGTACCTAGGATTGGATTAAGTGGCTGAAGCTTTTCTCATACAATTATGGTGCTTCCCTCTGGTTCTTTTTTAAATACTTCTTGCACCATCTAATCTGGTTTGCCTTCTGGTACAAAGTTAAAGCCGAACTCTAACAAAACATTTCCTTCATTCATATTTTTCTCCATGTGTCCATATGTCCATCTTTAGTGCACAAGTAGGTTTGAGACATCAACAAAGGCTTTCTCACCTTCACTTAAACAACTCTCTACTTTGTGGATTCACTGATTTACTGTAGCAATCTCACATTCCCATCCCACTCTTTTTGGAGCCTGGGAGGCTCTAAGGATTGGGACACCCCCTCTGATTGGTCCTTCAAGGCCAGAGTTTTTGTTCGCTATACTCAAATAATTTCATGCTGCAAATTTATTTCTATAGTTTCTATTTGGTAAATGTTATAACTTGATAGAAGATTGTCTGAAATTGCTAAAGAAATTTCTCTAAAAAGTTTCTCAAATCCTTCTTGTCTCAGTGGAATAAAAAACCTCTAACCTCTTTCCAAAACTCCAAACCCTTGACTTTCAAACCCTCTGTTCACACTGTCAATGCAAACAGACCTCAAATTGCTTTAACCTTCTACCCGTTCTCCTATCTCTGCTTCCTTAAGCAAATTTTCTCTCTTCTCTTACAAATTTTGTTTTCCTTCCAGTGGACTTTGATTAAAGCCTACCAACTTTTAAACTAACCTTTCATTTTACACTCTGATTCCTCACTTCCCTTTACCTTAGTTAGCTATTTTCTTAAGATCATCTCATCTTCTTTCTCAATCATATATTCTAGCCTAACATTCTACTGAATATCTGGGGTGCAGATTTCCGATTAACTGCTATACATTTACTTCTGGAGTCACATAGTCTATTTCAATTTAGGTGACTTTGCTACTAGTTTACCTAAACAAATTCTATTGTATCATTTCAAATCAGCTTCTGTTCTGCTTATCCTCTAGTATATGAAATCACCTTCTTCTAGAACAATACATCTATTGCCCTCCAGGAAAGGATGAAAGGCATGTGCTGTGTGCATTTAATCTTAATTCTAGCTGCAAACCTCCAAAAAATCACTAAGATGATTCAGCAGTTACAAAAATCTTTAAACCATAATTTGGAAATTTGCAGTATAGATATTACATTTCAGTTACAAATTTAGTCTTTAACTAGTTTATAATGCCATAAATGTCTACAAATCAGGAAAAAGATCTTTCTCATTTTCTTGTCTGTCTTTATCTTTGCAATCTCCAACCAAGTCTGAGTGTAAAGGCAGAGAGAAAGAAAGAAAGTTGAAGTTTTCCTTTTTCTCTCCCACAGATAAGTCTAATGAAAAAGTCAGTGAGAGTAAGTCCCTGCTTAATATTAACAATAGCTGGAGGAGCTATTTTGAGTACAAGCATACCTTGGAAATATTGTGTTCCAGACCACTGCAATAAAGCAATATCACAATAAAGCAAAGTCACATGAATTTTTTGCTTTTCTGGTATATATAAAAGTTATGTTTACCCCATGCTCTAATCTATTAAATGTGCAATAGTATTGTCTAAAAAAAGCAATGTGCATACCTTAATTCAAAATCATGCATTGCTTTAAAAAAAATGCTAACCATTATCTGAGCCTTCAGTGAACTGTGATCTTTTTTTCCAGTGGAGGGTCTTACCCCGATGTTGATGACTGCTGACTGAACAGGATGGTGGTTGCTGAATATTGGGCTGGCTGTAGCAATTTCTTAAAATAAGACAACAATGAAGTTTTTGGCATTGATTGACTCTTCCTTTCACTTGAATGCTTAGAGGCCATTGTAGAATTATTAATTGGTC